CATCAGCCCCAGTTATAGCAGCCAATGGTGAGGGGAGATGGGAGTTATAGTTTAAAGAATGGTGGGAGCTGTAGTCCAATAACATCTGACTTAGAATTATGTCCTTCCTATCATGTCAGCATCCTGCGTTAGGTTTTTAAGAAAGAGGTGCTGACATGGTAACTTAGTCGGTAGAGCCTGAGACTCTTAATCTCAGGCTTGTGGGTTCAAGCCCGTTGGGTGAAAGATTCCTCCATTGCAGGGGTTGGACTACATGACCCTTGTGGTCCCTTTCCAACTCTACAATTCTATGATTCTATGGTAGATAAAAATAGCAACATAGAAGCAGATATTACTAAACAGTTTAGGGCAGGGGTCAGCAAACTTTTTCAGCAGGGGGCCGGTCCACTGTCCCTCAGACCTTGTGGGGGGTCAGACTATATTTTGGAAAAAATAATAATAATGAACGAATTTCTATGCCCCACAAATAACCCAGAGATGCATTTTAAAGAAAAGGGCACATTCTACTCATGTAAAAACATGCTGATTCCCGGACCGTCCGCGGGCTGGATTTAGAAGGCAATTGGACCGGATCTGGCCTCCGGGCCTTAGTTTGCCTACCCATGGTTTAGGGACATTATACATTTAAAGCACTCTGACAACACTTCAGCACTCCTGGCTTCCCCCAAATAACCTTCGGTGCTGGGAGTTATTGGGGAGACCCCTGTTCCCCTCACAGAACTACAAACTCCAGGACTTCCCTGGAAAGAGAGGGAAATAAGATGAGTCCATTAGGAAGGCAAAGACTATGCAAGACAAGGAACCCCTCTTCCAGCTGTGTGTTAGTGGGAAGATACAGAAGGATTTAAAGGGTGTAGGATTTCAGTTTGCGTTATGAAAATGAGCAGTAAAAAGTGTCAGTTTTGCAAGTCTGAGAGAGAGGGCCCAGAGCAGAAGGCTTTATGCTGCAGGGTGACAGACACAATATTTGCGGTCTCTTGGTATCTAAGCTGCAGCAATGGAAGGAACAGGACCCTCTTGGGATGTGAACACTCTGCCCTCTCTCCCTCTAGACTTAGGTTGTGTATATGTGTAAATAAACCATACATCATAAAGACACCACAGTCTCTGCTGTGCCTCATTATCCAAAAAGAAACACAGACCCTGATAAGCGCACCTGGTGCCCCTGAACTCTTTCCACTGCTTGGAGATTTGGGAGGCATTAAGTGTAACCATATCCAATTAAAAGACTTGTAGCAAAAGGAAGATCTTCAACAGGTGCTGAGAAGACAACAGAAGCAGCACTTGTCTGATATGCAGCTGGGGAAAGTATAGCATAAATATTACAGGGAACATATGCACATACATAAGTAAGCATGTATCATATAAATCTCATTATTCTCCCTTCTCAATATGTGGAATGGAGAGGTTACATGGATTGGCCAGATATATGCATGGAGGTAATCACACATCAAGCTACATGTTACACCATTCTCACAACAGAGGGTAATGTGTGGGTCCAATGTCCAACCATATGTTGGACACCATGGGATTTCAAATACTGGGAGGAGGTGGCCTGAGATTCCTTTGCATTTAATATGGGCTGAACGAAGCAAGAAGCCTTTATGCCGGTCTATTGACGTGGATGGCGCTGTGGGTTAAACCACAGAGCCTAGGATTTGCCGATCAGGAGATTGGCGGTTCGAAGCCCTGTGACAGGGTGAGCTCCCGTTGCTCGGTCCCAGCTCCTGCCAACCTAGCAGTTCGAAAGCACGCCAAAGTGCAAGTAGATAAATAGGTACCGCTCCGGCGGGAAGGTAAACGGAGTTTCCATGCGCTGCTCTGGTTCGCCAGAGGCAGCTTAGTCATGCTGGCCACATGACCTGGAAGCTGTACACCGGCTCCCTCGGCCAATAAAGCGAGATGAGCGCTGCAACCCCGGAGTCGGCCACGACTGGACCTAATGGTCAGGGGTCCCTTTACCTTTATTGACATTTTGATCTGTTAAATCAAGCTTTGACTATGTTTCCAAAGCTCAACAGAATCATTCATAGAAAAGTAACACTAGGAAGAGGCATTGAACTCCCAATGGCATGAAGCATTTGATGTACCAAGTAATTCTAAATCACAGAAGGCAGCAAAGCACCTGACATGTGCAAAGGGGCGGGGGATGTATTTGCATTTTTAAAAAGTTTATTTTTATTAATCTTTTTCTCAGGGTGTTAAGCACTTGTCCAGGCTCCCTCTTCTGGCTATGAATGTTGACGTTAATTTGATTTAATGTATGTGCACTGTTTTTGCTGACAAAAATAACTGTATTTCATGCTCTCATTCCTCCTCCTGCTCACCGTAGATGTCTTTTTGTAATTACACCATTGTGTTTGTTTATGACTAATGCAAGCTCATCCTTCTGAGACTGCTGGGTGATTCATGTTTAAGTGAGTTTTAGAAACTGACTCCACACACTTGGCAGAAAAGAAAGATCAAGAAGCATGGTGGTCAATATACAAAATACACAGCCTTGCATGCATATACCCATCAGCTGAGTATTTCATTATTACTGTTTATACCTATGTTGTTAGTCACTGTGATTACACAGTGCATCATAAGAGAGAAGGGAGGCAAGCAAACCAGTCAAACCAACATCTCCTTTGTATTAACTTCACCACTGCCAAGTGAATATGTTAATTTTTCTCTGGCTGCTTCCACTAAAGAGCCCTTTAACCTTCTGGTCTTTAAGTGACCCAACCTACTCCCAATAGTGAGTAGAGTCATATGGTACATAGGTGTGGGGTGCATAACAAGGCCTTAGACTAATTCCCCTCTCTCCCAAAGACATGAGGCATTTACTTATGGATTTAGAAAGACAACACATTACACAGTTTTCAAGGAAATTGCTACCCATAAGAGAAAATTTTAAAATAAACATATCTAGTTATACCTTTACTAGATTATTTCCCTGACCAAACCAATATTTATCCATTCACATTGCTAAGTTTAGCTTCTGGATCACTTCATGACCTTCTCCTGGTTCCTTCTTCCTGCAGTGCCAGTGCCCTCCACTATTCCAACTTTTCTTCCTGTCTCATGAAGTTCTTCAAACTTCTGATTCCACAACCTTCCACCTATTCCACTTTTTCTAGCTTGACATATAGAGTATTTGCACACTCTCTCCTTTCCAACTTTTTAGTGATTCAGAAGGAGAGGAGAGTGTTGGTTTAGTTTCTCTTTCTCTTTAATTTCTAGCTGCCTGGGATGAACCTTTGGACCCTCTTGTGCAAAATTTCCTCAGCATAACATCCCCTCTTAAACTTTTGACTCTCTTGTGAACAACTCCCTGAGCAAAACATCCCACTGAACTTTTAACCTCCATATGATCTTCTGACCCTCCTATGCACAAGAGCCCTTAAAGGAAAAAGCAACCCCTTTATATTCTATATTTTGCAACCAAAAGCCCAAAAGAAAGTGACTGAAATTCCAAATCCTTCACAGTCACCCTGAGTACATAAGTACAAGAGCTCAAAAGTTGCCATAGTGATACACAAAATGTAAAATAAAATACAACATACAATGTAAAAACAGTCATATCAACGATCTACAAAGGCCTTGGTAGGTTTATAAAGCAGCAGATGGTCTTCAAAGCATCCTAATCCTTGGCTTACCCATTCGTCTAAGTGATTACTTACAGTAAACGTTTTGACTGTTTGTGTACTGCCACCTTGCCCAAGCTATGCCTGTCTTAAATTGTGGTCTAAGAATTGGCAAAAATTTAACATAACAATATAAACGCAACATAAAAACCCACTACAAACAAAATAAATACATATAAAAATGCAATCTAAAACCAACAGCAGTGACACCACCTTCCACCCCCCACAACCAAAACCTTTCCTGAACAGAACACCCACACTTATAAAGCATTTGAACAACTACCCTATACCTACAAGAGTGCCGTTACCACAGTGTAAAGGTAAAGGTACCCCTGCCCGTACGGGCCAGTCTTGACAGACTCTAGGGTTGTGCACTCATCTCACTCTAGAGGCCGGGAGCCAGCGCTGTCCGCAGACACTTCCGGGTCACGTGGCCAGCGTGACGAAGCTGCTCCAGCGAACCGGCACCAGAGCAGCACACGGAAACGCCGTTTACCTTCCCGCTATAAAGCGGTACCTATTTATCTACTTGCACTTAGGGGTGCTTTCGAACTGCTAGGTGGGCAAGAGCTGGGACCGAACGACGGGAGCTCACCCCGCCGCGGGGATTCGAACCGCCGACCATGCGATCGGCATGTCCTAGGCGCTGAGGTTTTACCCACAGCGCCACCCGCGTCCCTTTTTTTACCACAGTGAGACTGACCCAATTGAGGTGGGGGGTGGGGGGAGGCACTTACATTAGCCACCACTGTGCTTGCTCACAGAAATAAGCTTTTTGCACCTCAAGAAAGTGACTGAAGGAATAATTTTACCTGAGAACTGATATGAATGATGGGGATTTGTGGTTGCTGATGAGGAAAATGGCAGAGAAAATGACTTTGAGACATTCCTGATGACACTTCTGAATAATCTGCCAAAATGTACTTCTGAAAACCCCTCATCTCATCAAGCGCTTCTCTACTGCAGCAATCCTGAATACAGTTAGCCTGCTTGCAACCTTACAGTGGGATTTAAACTTGCTTGGATTTGCAACCAAAATCGGCTTATATTAAAATATATCCCTACTTCTTCACTATTTTCTCATGCTTCTCATTCAGATGAACTGGTCACCTGAGCAGATCAATAAGCATGATGCAAATATAACATCTTTTTCTCTCTCATCTTTTTGGTTGTGTGAGAAAGAAGATGGTATCACTGCTGTTGGTTTTGGGTTGTGTGGGGTGTTCTTTAACCTACGTACCTCCTCTTTCCTGTTCCAATGAACAACCAACCAAATCACCATCACCATCCCAACTAGAATATATACCATGTTGGACCCTTGGTCCATCTTGTTCTTCAGGATTTCAGGTCAGGTTCACTCCCAGCCCTTCTTGGAGATATGGGGATTGAACCTGGGGCCTTCTGCATGCAAAGCAGATGCCCTACCACTAAGCTACAGCTCTTCCCCTGTCTTTCTATGCTTCAGTCCCTAGTTCCCCTTACATTTAAGATTTCATGTCCCGTTCCATATTCTCTCCAAAAACAAACACACAGCACATTGTGAGCATTCTTCTCCCTGTATATTACTCAAAGACAATATTTGGCATACACACACAAAATTGTAAATACAATCAAAGCCAATATCAAAATTGTGTGTGTCTGTTTCCCATCATATGTCATAATAAAGCTGCCTTTTTCAGTGAAAAATGCATAAAGAATTATTCGCCTGCCATCGTTAACCACCAGTTTCTTTGTTTCCCCCCCAGTTTCTCTGCTCCCCCCAAGCAACTCCAATATTTTTATAAATGATATGTCTTTTTGTATTTTTTTAAGTACTGCATGACACAGAAGCAATAAGTTTGGCAAAATCAGATAGCTACCATAAAGAGTGCTAAGTGAAAAAAAATTTCTGTATAAATATTTTGCATTTAGATCAAATCTGAGCTGTGAACAACAAGGGATAATTAGCTTTATGAATTCTCCTGGGTGGTTAGATTTGGTCTATACAATTTTATGTCTCTCCTGAATTGCTGGGTTTAGCACATTACACTTAATTGAAGGTTTCAGCTTTATAAATGGAGCCATCTTGGTTGGGGAAAACGATATTGTAACAGTTGCTGTGTTGATTTGGTTTGGGGGGTCTGCTCTGCTGCCCCCATGTTCCTGTCCACTCCTTCAGCTTTCAAAACAGGCATAATGTCACTTGGGGAAGGGGCTTTGCATATATAGTGCAGCAGCGACAAAATGGTAAAAGCATCTTCCCTTGGGCAATTTTCGTTTAGAGAAAAGGCAAGTAAAAGACGACATGATAGTGGTGGAGTGGAGAAGGTGGACAGAGAGAAGCTTTTCTTCTTTACTCATAGCACTACAACACGGAGACATCAAATGAAGCTGAATATTGGAAGACTCGGGACAGACGAAAATGGTACTTCACACAATGCAGAGTTAAATTATGGAATCTACTCTCACAAGAGGCAGTGATGGCTGCCAACTTGGGCTGCTTTAAAAGAGGATCAGACACATTCATGAGGGACAAGGCTATCAACTAGCCAACATGGCTATATGCTGCCTCCACATTTGAAGGCAGCAATGCTTATGAGTATAAGTTGCTAGAAACTGCATAAGGGGAGAGTGTTCTTGTGTTTGGGTCCTGCTTGTGGGTTTCCCATTGAGGCATCTGACTGGCCACTTTGAGAACATGATGCTAGACTAGAAGGGCAATTGGGCCTCATTCCTACAAGCTTTCCAAAATAAAATGGATTTAACATGGCATCATGAAGATAACGGACCCTCCAAGTGTCCTTATTTTCCAGGGACATCCCTGATTTAGAGAAGCCACCCCGCATTCTGATTTGATCCTGGAATGTCCTTCTTTTCCTTAGGATGTCCCTATTTTCAATGGAGAAATGTTGGAATTCTATGGAGTTATCCAACCTCAGAGCCATCTGAAGGCAATCCTGTACGGGAAAGTTCTTTTTTTTAATGTTTAATGTTTTATTATGTTGGAAGCTGCCCAGAGTGGCTGGGGTGACCCAGTAAGATGTGTGGGGTATAAATAGTAAAATTATCATTATGGAATGGGACATCCCTATGCTCATCGGAGAAATGTTGGAGGGTATGAGAAATGTGAGAAGTGATCTACACCTTGAAGTACTTGGAGGAAAGGTGGAATATAAATGTAATAAAGTAAGTAAACAAGTAACTTCTGCTGATTGTCTTACACACTGACAGCTTAAGAACAGTCATATTGGATCAGAACAGAGGCCCATCTAGACTAGCATGCTGTTCTCACAGTGACCAACCAGTTGCCTGTGGGAAGCCAACAAGCAGGACATGCGCTCAATAACATTCTCCCAATGGTGATACCAAGCAGTTGGAATTCAGAATCCTCCTGCCTTTGATACAGGAGAAGTTACCATACCCTCCAACATTTCTCTGATGAACATAGGGACGTCACATTCCATAATGATAATTTTACTATTTATACTCCACACATTTTACTGGATAGCCCCAGCCACTCTGGGCAGCTTCCAACATAATAAAACATTAAACATTAAAAAAAACCCTTCCCTCTACAGGATTGCCTTCAGACAACTCTGGGATCGGGTAACTCCATACCCTCCAACATTTCTCCAGTGAAAATAGGGACACCCTAAGGAAAAGTGGGACATTCTGGAATCAAATCAGAAACCGGGACGGCTTCTTTAGATCAGGGACATCCGTGGAAAATAGGAACACTTGGAGTGTCTGAGTTAAACCATGGTCTTCCCTCTACCCTCCAGAGAAGCAAGGGGTGTCCTAGTTTTGTGACTGAGGTAGAAGCTGGAGTATGCTGCTCCTCAGCTCTACAGTCCCTGGGCAATCTTGATGGAAGATGTTCTTACACAAAGAATAATGTCCCTAGCAGCATAAAATAATCATAAAACACAACACCTACACATGTTAATAAAAAGGCAAAATTTACCCACACATTGTATGTGTGTGCAGGGTGGGAATATTTTTATGTGTAGCATATTACTAGTGTGTTAGAGGATGCTTCTCTCTGTCCATTGCTGTAAATGAATGATAAAATCACGTTTATTTGAATCTCTCCTTTGCTTTCAGATTTTGTTTTCTGCGGGCCTGTGTGTTTTTGTGAGTTCCACTCCGTAGCTATTTCCTCCTCCCAGTAACCACTTTTTTCTTTCTTTCCGAACCAAGCCTGCTCTTGGGCTCTGTTTACAAACCCATACACTGGCCTGAACTCTTTCCATTTGTTCAGTCATCTAGCAAATCTCCGTCTACACAGATTGATTATGCAACTATAGGAACGCAGGTGATTAAGCAACAAAAATAGCTCCAGCTAGTCCCTGAGTAGAATGGAGCTGAACAAACCCAGAATCAAAAAGTGGCTTTTAGCTAAATGAGCATTTGCAGGGAACAGGCATGGTTTTGATGAGAAGAATGAGTCATTATAGCTATGCATTCTCCCTGCTAACTAAGGTACTCACTGGTAAATCTGTAGCAACTTTCACACAGTCCATCATGTGACTTACTAGGGGAAAGTGTGCATAAAAAGTATATATAAATTAAAATTTTATAGAGAGATACATAATGCATTATATTAGGGAAATCTGCTTGCAATAATTTATATATTAGGAGAAATTTGCACAAAAATGCTGGCAAATTTTAACAAGAACTTTTGTTTTGTTTTTTGGGGGGAACAATCACAAGCTGATGCAGAAATCTTAAGAACTGGAAAAAAGAAAAATTGAGAGAAAGAAAAATTGTCCATCCCTTATCCTATGTTAGACCTGCTCAGTTAGGTCCATTAATTTCTATGGAACTACTCTGAGTATAACTTAGAAGCTGCAGTAGATCCATAAAATACATGGACAAAAAGTAGGATACATGGTGACCCTTCCCTGAATTTCTTTATTTTCAGAATTTTGCCATTTCAAACCTGCTGGAATGTTTGAGTAGCTGCTGCTGAAACTGGTGCTGCTGTTAGCTCCCACAATCCCTTCCCCCTGAAAACCAGGCTTTGCAGAAAATGCTTCCTCTTCCATTTCCAGCAAGGTCCTTTTATTATTGAATAAGTAGTATGTGCCATTTCTTGCTGTGGTTTCCCATTCCCCTTAGCATCTGCAAATAACTTTCAGCAGGTCCTTATTGATTCTCCACCTGTTCTATAGCCCCCTTGCCGCTAATGTTGTACTGAGATGCCAGACGTGTGAGACTGAGAGCAGGGAGCTCCCAATCCTATTGGTCACAGCAAATACACAGAATGTGGAAAGCGTCTGACCTCTCTGACAGTTTTCTGAAATGCTGAGAACATCAGAAGAGAACTGCTGGGCAAGACCTAAGGTCCGTGCAGCCCATCTTCCTGTTTGCAATACTGTAGCATATAGCCTGATCATCCCGATTTATTCTGCATTGGTCAGGGATGGGAGAGAAATCTGATTCAGTTTGCATTTAAACGAGGACCTAACAAATTTGAACTCTCCAAAATAATGCATGTACTGAAACGCAGCCATCCTTTGAAACATGCACTTCTCCAATATAATTCTCTATTCAAGTGATGTGGATAAAATTGCATTTACCAGGGTGTGCATATAAATGCTTATATTAGTGTACATAACATACAAAATTTAGTCTGTTAAGGGAGAAATGTATATATTAGGCAAAATTGCATACAAACGGCATTATGCATACTTAAACACTAAAACTTCCATGCGTTGTTTTTTTATTAAAAAATTGCAAACTGAAATTAAGGTTGGAAAAATGAGATACTGAGAGAAACCAAGCTGGCAGTTTCATCCGTCTGGAGACCTGTGTCCAGTTATGAGTGTCATGTTTTAAGAATAAAATTGACCAACTGGAGGAAATCCAGGGGAGGTGGACCAGGGTAGTGAAGGGTCTGAAAACCATGTCCTATGAGCAATTCTCATACGTGGGCATGGGCATGTGTGAATGTGTGTGTGCCACTTGAAAATTGGTAAAAGAATGAATAATTGTTTTTTCCTATGAATGAACGCAACTCATTGTTTTCTTTCAGTGTAGGAATTGTCAAAACCAGTGCCACATTGTGAAAATCATTGGCCCTAGCCCAGGCTGCTGAGAACTGGACGCTTTCAGAGAAAATTTAGTAGCGTGCACCAGCACCATTTAAAGAAAATCGTGCATCCCAAGTTAGAGCCTTAATAGTCTTGCCCTGGTCAAAGTTGCCTTCATCTCTGTCATGGGTGGGTGAGGGAACCAAATGTAGGGTCAAGTACAAATATTCTAGATGGTTACACAATGTCCTGAACCATGGGGTACCTGGCGGCAAGTCCCGCTGGAGTTGCACAATCCCATGGCAGATTCTGGCAGGCCAACAGTTCCAAAGTACATTCAGGTCAAGTTCCTGCCTCTGCAGCTGATCGAGGGATCAGAGCACCTGAAGATCAGTCCTGCATAAGCACAGTCCCAAAGAGCCTCCTGGAAA